CCGACATTGCTGCACTACTGCCATCGAACCTCCGACACTCGGCCAGAACAACAGAACCGTCACGTTCCTCCTCGCTTCTGTTCGTGCCAGTAAACACTAAACCCAGAGGTTTGACCACAACTTGTTTGATTTGATTTTTATGTTTTTATATCCGACGTCCTTTTTTATTTATGACAGAAATGCACTAAAATCAGATTCAGCCCGTCTCAGCGCTCCACTACAGCTCGTCCACTTATTTAAATTCACGTGAGCAGCTCGGTAACATCAGCCTCTAAACCATGGTAGTTTAATGCTAACGCTAACTGATGGCACCAGTTCATCATTCTGGGTTAATGTTTTAAATGGGATAACGCCAACGCTAACTCTCACTGCAGCTAGCAGTTAGCATGTTAGCATGGCAGCATCAGTTTAGCTGTTGTGTCTCGATGGGAACCATCAAGCTAAAGCTACAGCTAGCAATCAGCTGAAAGAAGACAAATATGAAGAAAACGTCGCCTTGTGATGCCAAGCTTCAAACTAACTCAATATTATGAGATACTAAGTCATTGTTATGAGATATTAACTCATGAGATATTAACTCATTATGAGATACTAACTCATTGTTATGAGATATTAACTTGTTATGAGATATTAACTCGTTATGAGATATTAACTCATTATGAGATACTAAGTCATTGTTATGAGATATTAACTCATGAGATATTAACTTGTTATGAGTTACTAACTCGTTATGAGATACTAACTCATTATTCTGAGATATTAACTCATTGTTATGAGATATTAACTCGTTGTTATGAGATATTAACTTGTTGTCATGAGTTAATAACTCGTTATGAGTTAATAACTCGTTGTTATGAGTTAATAACTCGTTATGAGTTAATAACTCATGAGATATTAACTCGTTGTGAGATATTAACTCGTTATGAGATATTAACTCGTTATGAGATATTAACTCATTATGAGATATTAACTCATTATTTTGAGATATTAACTCATGAGATATTAACTCGTTATGAGATATTACCTCATGAGATATTAACTCATTGTTCTGAGATATTAACTCGTTATGAGATATTAACTCATGAGATATTAACTCATTGTTCTGAGATATTAACTCATGAGATATTAACTCATTGTTCTGAGATATTAACTCGTTATGAGATATTAACTCATTATTCTGAGATATTAACTCATTGTTCTGAGATATTAACTCGTTATGAGATATTAACTCATTGTTCTGAGATATTAACTCGTTATGAGATATTAACTCGTTATGAGATATTAACTCATTATTCTGAGATATTAACTCATTATGAGATATTAACTCATTATTTTGAGATATTAACTCATTATGAGATATTAACTCATTATTTTGAGATATTAACTCATGAGATATTAACTCATTGTTCTGAGATATTAACTCGTTATGAGATACTGATGACTGGTTATTAAATGGCTTCATAAATCTGGCTCGTTATGTTTCCACCTTGATGCTAACGAGGGAACCGCTCACCACCTCACCTGTACATAGACGTCAAAGAATAGAAACTCCTCCGTATGGTCATCGTTTGGTTTGTTGTGTTACCTCTAAACCTTTCCCCCTTAAGCCCCGCCCCTCAGGGCCATCCTCCACATTATTTATAAACTCCTCAAATCTTCTCTTTTGTATATTTTCCTCCGACCTCTAAAGTCCATCCAGGTTTATGATGATTTATCCTGCAGACACGTTATTGATCCTGTTAATCTAATTATTGTTATTATTATTGTTGTTATTTTTGTTGGCTGTACAGTAACGTAACATGAATACAGTCTTCTGCTGTAATGTGTCTCTTTTCAATAAAGACGAGAAAAATGCTTCTTAATATAAAAAGACTCTGTGTGTTTGTGTCTGAAAGTTTAACTTCAATTAGTTTTAATATAAGAAGAAAAAGGAGAATTTTGTTAAATTATTTCATTATAATAAAATATTTATCTTTTGTATTTGTGATATTTGTACGATTAAACAATCAAATATATATATTTAGAAATAATTTTTGCAGTTTGCTCGTGTGTGTGTCTGTCTCTCTGTGCGTGTGTGTGTGTCTGTCTCTGTGCGTGTGTGTGTGTCTGTCTCTGTGCGTGTGTGTGTGTGTGTGTCTGTCTCTCTGTGCGTGTGTGTGTGTGTGTGTGTGTGTGTGTCTGTCTCTGTGCGTGTGTGTGTGAGTGTGTGTGTGTCTGTCTCTGTGCGTGTGTGTGTGTGTCTGTCTCTCTGTGCGTGTGTGTGTGTGTGTGTCTGTCTCTCTGTGCGTGTGTGTGTGTGTGTGTGTGTGTGTGTGTGTGTGTGTGTCAGTCAACACAGGAAGTAGAAGCATCTTCATTCATAAACTTGTTTGTCAAACATCCACTTTTTCTTTCTGGAGCTTTCTACTAAAACTTTATCTTCATGGAGACAAAACGAGACAAACTCAAAGTTCACTTCCTGGAAGAAATCAGAGTTTAGTTTCAACAAACTTACAATCAATGATTTCTGAATGAACATTTATTTAAACCAGATGTTGAATCATAAACTAGAGTTTAATCTGTGATCGTCTTCACTGTTTACATGTTGAACACAATCTCATCAGTCCGATCGGCTGCAGCGTCCAATCACATGACTGATGAACAATGAGGGGGCGTGTCGGCCGTTAAAACACTTCCTGGAAGTCTGTTCTCGTGGGTCCTCGCTCATGTCTCCTCAGAGATCCCTCCTCCATCCTCCATCCTCGATCCTCAGAGCAGGAATAAGAGCTTTGGGACGGCCGTCAATATGGCGGCGCAGTACAACTTCCGGTTCGAGCGAGGAGCGAGGAAATGACAAATAAGAGACTTGAGATGTACCCTTAGGGAGTGAGAGACATGAAGCACCTGTCTGAGACATGATATATAGTTATAAATAAATAATTATATGCATGTGTGTGTGTTTTATATTATAGTGAATATTATTATATGACATATATGTTATTATATTATACTGAGACTATAATAAGATGTGCTGACGTGTTCATCAAAGTGTTATTTTCTGCTTTTTTCATGTTGGAATAAAGGTTAAATATTTAACTGTAAAGTAGTAATACGTGTTTGATACCTTAATGTTTCTGCATTAAATCATTCTGGGATGTTTGCTGACATTGATTGATGTGCTCAGCCCTACAGAGAACATGTTCCACCAGACAACACTGATGAAGAGGATGAAGAGGATGAAGAGGATCTATCAGGTCTCATCTGTCAGTGACGTCTCAGTTTGATCAGAATCTTTAAATTCACACATTAAAGTCTTCTTTCTCATTTCTGTCCTTTGACTCAAACCAGGTTTTTATTCGCGTGTGAAAAGGATTGTTGAAAGGTAGTTCAGATATCAGTGATGACGTCATAATAAACGCAGCATTGAACCCGATCGTTCTTCAGTTCAGTGAATAAAAAGAGACATTCATCATATTTTCATCATAATTTCTGCTGAATCTTCTAAAAGACTTTTAGAATCAAACGTACATTTGATGACGAGCGAGTGTTAGTTAACTAATACTAAGTTAACTATTAGTTAACTTAGTATTAGTAGAGAGCGATTAGTTTCAATAAATGGTGAAACGTTGAACCAGAAGAAGTCCAGAAATCATAACTTTAAACCATTTTAACGAGTTGAACTGCTGGAAATTCTTTCACTAAAAACTAAATCATTTACATTTTAAATGCAAAACACTTGATTTTCTGCTTTTATTTTGTTGAAAACATTTTTCTTCTTCTTAGATTTTTATATTAAATTCATTGTTTGACGTTAAATGTCAGAACAACAGAGTCCAAAGGAATATTATATTATAATAGAAATCATCAAACGCACATTGAACACAATATTTATAATTATTCAAACTTCACTCTGATCGGGTTCGATGACCCGCTGTCATGGCGACAGAACGCGCACTGCGTCATTACGCGCAGGTGCGTCACTGGCTGCTACGAATCCAAACCGGCGACACGGAACCGGCCGTTAAACGAGACTTTAATCCGGTGGACTTTAACGGTTGTTTTTACCGGTTAATCCGGGAAACGTTCGAATCTGTGAGCGTCGATACCGGAACAAGTCGTTTACACAGATATATATATATATATATATATATATATATATATATATCTAGATGTATAAACGGGTTTATTCTTTTACTTCATAACTAATAATAATCAGGACTGATTATTAATTATTAATCAGCTGTTTGTTGACTTTTACTTTAATTCAAAGAGAAAAACCTGATAAAGCGTTCAATAAATTAAATATGTTTGTCATTAATTAATGTTTCCTGGTTTATTTGTGAACTAAAATACTAAAAAGATATTTGATAAATTAACATGTTTAAAAAATAAAGGTTAAAAAATAAAGGTTTTCAGGTGAAGTAAATCTCCAGAGCGCGCACGCGGCCTCCCGGAGAACGTTAATATTGTGCAGCCGCGTGAGCGCGCTTTTTGGTACCCCCCGTGACCTCAGACGTCACAACAACGGGCTGTAAACGAGTGACCTTTGACCTCCAGGTTGAAGAATAAAATATACTTCATCTTCGCTTCATATTAAATAAATCGGTTTATGAAATAAAATAAATTAAAGACTCGAGTCATCCGGCCTTCAAAATAAAATGTTATTTACCTGCACAATAACAGATTAACTCTGTAAATATAATTGAAGATAATAATGATACTTTAGTGTGACTGGTGTCATGAATCACAACTTCTGCTTTTCATCTTATTTATTGTTCATATTCTTCAGAACGTTCAGAACTTTTTGCACATTTTTATATAAATAAATTAGCAGCGTCATTTTATCCCCAAAACAAACAGAAACATAAAACAGATGAAATGTTTGATCATCAATGTCTGTGGTGACGTCACACCGGGTCTATTTACATGTGGGGGGGTGTTTGTTTGTTTTCATTTCCTGTAAAGAAGAAAAATGTGACAAAACAAACTAAAATATGTTTAATATTAATATTTAATGTGAGGATCTATTCTAACATGACGTCAGTCTGATGAGATGAATTATTGTAATAATTAAACTAAATAACGAACTTTTCTAACATTTCATCTCCACGTTTTCTCGTGACGTCACGTGGTTGTAGTCAAACCGGATGTGTGTTTTTAAATCACATTTCGTCTCAAATAAAATCCAGAAGCTCAGATCTTCAGTTCTAAACCCGGAACCGGGTCTCATGGACCCCGAACCCGCACGTGCTCAGTCCTCCTCCTCTTCTTCTACGGTCGGGCCTGCTCCATCTGCTGGTGCTGACTCCTTATTGCGAAGCGGCTCACGTGCACCGGGATCGGGACCACGATCTTGGGGTTCCGGGACGGCTCCCCGGACTTGTTGTTCACGTTCCCGGCCTTGACCCGTTTCCACTTGGCGCGCCGGTTCTGGAACCAGATCTTCACCTGCACCTCGCTGAGCTTGAGCGCATGCGCGATCTGTGAGCGCTCGGTGAGCGACAGGTACTTCTTGCAGTGGAACTCCTTCTCAAGCTCCAGCAGCTGCTCGCTGGTGAACGCGGTGCGCCGCCGCCGGTTCTTCCCGCCGCCGCTACCGGAGCCTCCGCCGCTACCGGAGCCGTTACCGGAGGAGCCGTGCACGTGCGGGCCGTCGTCCAGCCCCCCCCCGCCGTCCCCGTCCTCCTTGTGGCACGCGAGGTTGTCGTCAGAGCTGTAGTCCAGGTCACTGTCCATCGAGAAGCTCTCGTCCTTCCGGCCGCACTCCTCCTCCTTCGAGTCTTCTTTACTGTGAGATCTGACTGTAGGAAGGAGAGCATCTTCATCATCATCATCATCACCTTCATCATCATCATCATAGTTAAAGAACAATAAACTGATTTATTTAGAAAATCCTCAAAATGTGTTTATAAATATTAAATAAATATTAAATAAATAAACTTCACTGAACGTTTCCTTTAAAATGTGGTTAATTATTAGAAGTTAAACTATTTAAATGTTCTTAAACTGACTGACATCTGTGGAGTGCGTTGGGGGGGTCGTGTCAATATCCATCATCGGATCACTGCGGAGGGCACGCGCTCTGTCGGGATTTCTTCCTTTTTATTTGTCACGCGTAATTACGCACGGAGCGTCTCCGCGCGGCCCGTTTGCCGCCGCTAACACAGTGTCCGTCCGCGCGTGAAACTTCAACATTGAAAACACTAATAATATGAAATAATATCTGTTTAATATCAGGAACCAATAAACCCATCGAACCGGAAATCAGCTGTTTGTTTTAATAAATAAACTAAATATTAGAGATTAATTATCCAAATCATTTCAGGACTTAAATAATTAAAACGAGATTTTTATTTATTTATTTATGACCGTTATTATGAAGACTTTAAAACAAATAACTAACTTTAAATAACTGAAATGACTTTTAAATTATTCAAATGTTTACATTTAAAAGTGGAGGAATTCAAAGAGTGAAAACAGAAATAAATGATTTAGACTTTATTTAACATTTTAAAACGAAACAACAATTAGATTCACGTGTTTAATTCAATTACTCTTTATTGATAATTAATAATTTACGAGATTTATTTTAAAGATGTTTTCCTGAATTTAAAAACATAAAACAAATGTTTAATGAAGCTGCAGTCATTTTTTATTTTATTTTAAGACCGGATATGAAAAGTTGTAGAATCCCGCTGTAGACCCGGTCCCGGAGCTCACCTGTGGACGTCTCCGTGTCGTGGAACGCCTGCAGCGCCGCGGACTCCTTCGCGTGCGTCAGGAAGCTCTTCCCGTCCTCCGCGTCCTGCGTCTTCTCGAAGACCGCGTGCAGCGCCTGCGAGCCGAACTTGCGGGCCGCCTCATGGTGCTGCTGGGACGGGGAGAATCCTCCGGGCAGCGACGCCATGAGCGTGGAGGTGAGCGCCATGCCCTGCGCGAGACCGGAGCAGAAGCCGCCCTGCAGGTGCGGGTGGTGGCCGGCGGGGAGAGCCGGGGGCGGCGGCGGAGGCGGCGGCTGCAGCACCACCGACCGGTACGGCATGAACATCGGGTAGCCGGTGTACACGAAGTGTCCCGGGCTGGGCTGCGGGGGCCCCCCGATCAGAGAGTCGATGCTGAAGGCGGTGGTGCTTCCGAGTGGCCGCTGCATCACCATGAAGGACGGAGCGAACGCCGCGCTCATAAGAACCGGAGGAGGATGCGCTGTGGGCGGCTGTGGAAGGACCGTAGAGGGACCACGGAGGGGCCGCGGAGGGACCGTAAAAGGACCACGGAGGGGCCGCAGAGGGACCGTAGAGTCCCGGTGGAGCCGCGGCTGTCACCGGCTCTCTGAGCGAGTTTAGAGCAGCGATAATCCGACTAGAAGCGACCGATCCATCGGAGAGAAACACAATCCGGCTTTAACTTCACACATTCCGCTGAGGCTCCTCTTCACCGGGACCGGGACCGGTGTCTTCTCTCTCGCGCTGAGACTCAGAGAGAGTGTGTGTGTGTGTATGTGTGTGTGCGTGCGTGTGTTGAGAGAGAGAGAGAGAGAGTGAGTGAGTGTGTGTTTCCTGCCCTGCGCGTCCAGAGATGTTTGGGATTTAAATTGCGCTCCCATCCGTTTAATTGCGCTGCTTTCTCCGCGCAGGCTCCGCCCCCCGGCCGCGCTCCGGCACCTGATTGGCTGGCCGGGATGATGTGACAAACTCGCCTTTTGGTCTCCTGGATGATCGCCAATTACACAAATTGGGACCACAGGCCATTTAAGAAGGAGGAAACATCATCATAAATAATCATCTGTATATAGTCAGTAAAGTGTGTGTGTGTGTGTGTGTGTGTGTGTGTGTGTGTGTAACATATTTTGTTTCAACAAAACCAAAAAACATTCTTTTATTCTGAAAATCAACTTCAGGAATCAAGTTTATGAGTTTCAAAATAAAACAAGATAAATTCAAAGAATGAAACTTTATTTTACTGTCGTTGAATTCCTCTCTGGATCCTCGGAACCAAACATATTTAATGATCATTTTAATAACTTCTGCGCTCATGAGGTGAGTCTAAACGTTTGCGAGGTTTTGATCCGAAGAACAAAAACTATAAACGTTTAAAACTCGTTTTAGAAATAAGAGTCATAAATACATTTACTAAATCACTTCATACTAACCTGGTGGATGCTGCAGGTGACCTCTGACCTGAGTGGGGGTCCCGGTGGACCACCTCCACCTCAGGGCCGAGTGAAGGGCACGCATGGCTGCCCCCCCCCCCTCAGGGTCACTGGGACACGATCTCATTAACGGCGTCCTGATCCACGACTGCTATGCAGACATTAAATAGCAGTATTTTTCAATTAGCGCCGACAAATTCAATCAAAATTCCATAGATTAGGATGAAATGAGGCGCGGGTCATTTACAAGGGCTTTAATTGCACGGCCATTAGACAAATAGTGCGGCCGTCTCTGTGTCGCTATCAATCACTCCGAGGCATCAATAGTAAAAGGTTGTACGGTAGGCGGGGGTGTATACGTGTAAGTGTGCGTGCACGGGGAGCGTGCACGTTACAGCGCTGCCACCGCTAATAAATATCCTCTTTTGTGCTTATAAATTATCCAGTTTAATTAACAACATGGATTATGATTGGACTATGATTTAATTAAAGCTCTCCTGCACGAGGCCGAGAGTCGCTGCTCATCCATAATGGGGGGTGAAGGTGTGAGGGGGGGTGACACTAAACGAAGAAGCGTCCTCTAATAGGAGCTGCTTACCTGCTCACATCATCAGCGGCGATAATCGGCCTCCGAATGGCCGAGCGGAGTTTACGGGAACAAACGGCCGAGTTTCGCTGATGTTATGGCGGCGAGATGTGAAGTGGGGGGGATGTGGCGGGAAAAAATAGGAAAAGTAATTATGAACATCGGAGCCGGAGGTGGAAACAGATGCAGGGACGGGTGGAGGGGGCGGAGCTATCGACCCGGTTTGAACTGTGACCACGAATGAAAATAATGTTTATTTAGTTTGAAGATGTTCTGATGATGTCGTTGTTTTCAGGTTTTGGACGATGAAGCGCTCTGAATATTCTGGAAGAGACAACCTGAGTGAAATGTTTTCCTGCTCCCAGAGGAGCTACCACAGCATAGCACGAGCTCTTAAAGAGACAGTACACTGAAAGGGAAGCAGAAAAACAGCTTCTGTCCCAAAACTCAAAGATCAATTAACATTTAGAGCAGATTGGATTTGTGATGATCCGAGCTGAAAGCGACTGGATTGATTGGTCCCCCCCCCCTCCCATGGCGGCTCAGCCAATCAGGGAGGATTGAGGTTCTTAAGTGTCTTCTGGTCGTATTGATTATAAAATTCATAAAATGTGTATCGAACTCAGAAATGAGATTCTTCTCTCCTCAAGAAGAAATCAGTTCGTCTCCAAAAGAAAGAAAAACCAAATAATAATTTAAATGTCGGGATGAAAGAAATGTGATGCGTTGATGTTGCAGATGTTTTATTTGCTTTATGAATTATCTTTAAGGTCACATATACAATATATATATATATATATATTATATATATATATATATATTATATATATATATATAATATATATATATATATATTGTATATAAACTATAAACTCTTTATTCAACTAAACTTGTGGAGAAAACATTCAGCGTTTCTCATTTTTGGTCTTTTTTTTAAGAGCAAACATGATTTTCGAAGATTCGTCAAAGTTTCATATTGAGGTTTGTTTGTTGTAGTTATAGTATTATTGTTATAATTATTATAATTATTATTATTATTATTATTATTATTATTATTACTGTGATTTGGGAGCGTGAGGGATTTTCCCAGCATGCATTTGTAAAGAGTGAGGTGACAGCTGGTGGAAGGTTTTGAGAACCAGTTCATCCATCAAGTCTGGATCCACTTTCCAAACGGCTCAGAGCAGCTGTTACACACAGACACCTTCGACCTTTGACCTCCGCACATAAAACACAAGCAGGTAAGTATACCTGCCTAGGCAAACCCAGAGGATTAGAGAGTCCAGACCGTCAGGAAGAGGCAGACGAGCTAATCGGATCCTCCACGCAGCTAAAAGAGCCTCATTTCATTATCACCGCCTTCATTCATAACAGGAAGTGGACGTACAATTAAGTTAGAGCTGCCTCGTTGTGTCGGCTTCCATTAGCGGCGTCTGAGACACTTCACATGAATGAACGCCTTGTGTTTGCTTCAGTGTGTCCGCGGTGTGGGAAAGCTCAGGACCTCCCTCCACCGTCGGGCTTCAGTGGGAACGTAAAGACGTTTCTGTAATCGGTCCGATGTAATGTCGTAGGTTTGTCTGTTGAATGAGAGGAAACATCCTGTCGTCTGTTTCTGAGAATGAAGAAAGAAACTGGAAACTAGACCCGGGTCCCAGTGTCCCCCCAGAAAAGGCCCTGAACCCTGAACCCTCAGGGTCTTCAGGTGTGAGAGACTGTAAAAGGTCTTCCAGGCTCTCCTTACGAGATGAGGTGATTGTTCTCTTGACTTGAACACGCGTGTGCCATCCTCTTTGTCTCCATGCTTCCACTGGGTAACCCCGTGTTTAACGTCACATTGCTATGAATTGTGGGTAATTCCCTCAGGTAGAAGTGTGCAGATATGGGGACTCGTAGAAAGTGTCAACGACTCGATGATGTGACAGCAAGTTATAAATAAACCCTCTTTTCTAGAACGAACATCAAAGTCTGTGAGTCCATGACTGAGGAGATCAGGAGACTGGGATTAGGACTGGGTCGTGGAGACTGGGACTGGGTCCTGGGGATTCAACTTCAGGTGCTTGTTGTACTTCCACATCAGAGTCTTCTGGCTGCTCCGGTTTGATTTAACGAGTCCACCGTGGGAACAAAGTCGGTCTCGGCTCGTTATCGTCTCCGTGGATCCGATCGTCCGCCAAATGGACTTCAAATTGAAATTGAAAGCATCGGAGTGTGATTGTTTTCAGGTGGAACTCGGAGAGGACTGTGAGAGAGCTGTGACAGATCGCTGGCTGAGCTCCAGGCTCCACTTAGTTGTGCCTCATTGTGTCGGGTAAGAGGCTGTAATGAGGCCGGCAGACGGGAGGAGGGAGGCCAGACCCTCTGATTCAATGAGGGGTTCAAGGAACACCAGAGAGAACCAGGTAGTAGTAGTCGTAGTCGTAGTCGTAGTAGTACTAGTCGTAGTAGTAGTCGTAGTATTTGTAAGTAGTACTGAGAATGAAACCTTTGATATTATTTTAAAGTAGGTAAAATATGCAGAACCTGTTTTAGCTAATATAGATTATAATAATCAGTGAACTTTAAAGCTTTTTATAGTTTGACCTATATTTATATGTTTACCTCTTTATTATGTAAACAACTCAAGATAAATGCATTATTACGATACTATGAATCAAATATGTTACAATACAATCAAACTACATAATATATTAATAAACTTTTCATAGACTCCACTTTGAGAATCATTAGAATTTAGGAGGCTAGCTGTTTCCCCCTGCTTCCAGTCTTTGTGCTAAGCTAGGCTAACCACATGTGACAAAATGTTTATTCGTCCACACCAACACTATACACAGAGACAAAGACTTAGCCTGTCCGACAGCAAACAAATACAATAAAATAAATAAATAAAAACAACAGAAAATAAATAATAGTAAAAATAAATAAATTAAGAATTTAAGAAAATACATAAATCACTGAACTGAAGGCTTGTTGTTGTTATTTTGGTCAAACATTATGTCGATGTCGAGCTGAAGATGAAGTCAGACTGACGCCGCGTTAACCTGCCGGCGTTTGATGGAGCGCCGAGCGCTGTGGATCCAACATCATTAACCGGGAGAGAGACAGTATGCTCCGGCTCGCACCGCCGGTAATGAGCCCTCGCCGATCATCCCTCTCGCCGTAATTAGTGGCGGGGCCCGCCACTCTGGGGGGAGAGCTTGCCGCTCGCTGCTAATGGACTGAACAAGGCAGAAAACGAGCGCTATTAAAGCTGGACATGAATTCCTGCTCGCCACGTGAAAAACCGTGAAACATAATTCATCATTCGGCGCCTCGTGGTCTGGCTGTGGAGACGAGACACTCGTGTACCTTTATACAGTCTGTTATAGTATATATATATATATATATATGTGTGTGTGTGTGTATATGTGTGTGTGTGTGTGTGTGTGTGTACAGGTGTGTGTGTGTGTGTGTGTGTATGTATATATGTGTGTGTGTGTATATGTGTGTGTGTGTGTGTGTATATATATGTGTATGTATGTGTGTATATGTATGTATATGTATGTGTATGTGTATAT